TCCAAGACCAGGGGGCTGGAGACATCTAATGGCAAGTGCCTGCATAGCAGAGCATCCTCCCCCACTGCAGCTGTCCTGTCCTGAAATTCCAACATTTAACTCTTACAGTACCTCAGAAACATATGTGCACAAGACCAGTGAATTAACAATGGCTGTGTGGGAGTAAGACATCTTGGCAACCTTCTCGAAGGAAAAATAAGTGATGCAGAGCAGTCAGTCACTCCTGTGTTTGGAAAGATCATGGAGCAGATCCTCCCGGAAACTATGCAAAGACACATGGAAGGTAAGGAGGGGATTGGTGACAGCCAATGTCTTCACTAAGAGCATGATCATGTCTGACTAATTTCAGTGGCTTTGGATGATTGGGTAACAGTGTTGGTGGCCGAGAGAAGAGAAACTGGTGTCATCTACCTGGACTTGGGTGAGGGGCAGATGTGTCCTCAGCGAGTTCTCTGGTGACACAGGGCTGGGAGGAGGGGCCGATACCCCAGGGAGCCATGCAGCCCTTGGGAAGGGCCTCAACAAGATGGAGAGATGGGCAGAGAACCTCCTGAAATCCAGCAAAGGCAAATGCAGGCTCCTGCTCTGGAGAAGAACAACCCCAGGCACCAGGACGGGCTGGGACTGACCTGCTGGGAAGCAGCTCTGGGGAGAAGGACCTGGGGCTCCTGAGGGACAATGATCTGTCCCTGAGCCAGCACCGTGTCCCTGTGGCCAGGAAGGACAATGGGATCCTGGGGTGCATTAGGAAGAGCACCAGCAGCAGGTCAGGGAGGTGATCCTGCCCCTCTGCTCAGCCCTGTGAGCATCACCTGGAGTGCTGTGTCCAGTCCTGGGCTCCTCAGGACAGGAGAGACACGGAGCTGCTGGAGCGGGTCCAGTGGAGGGTGACAAAGATGATGGAGGGACTGGAGCATCTCAGTGAGGAAAGGCTGAGGGAGCTGGGGCTGTTCAGGCTGGAGAAGAGAGGGCTGAGAGGGGCCCCCATCCCTGTCAGTGTCTGCAGGGAGGGGCCAGAGCATGGACCAGGCTCTGCTCCCTGCTCCCAGCAATGGGACAGCAGGAACAGGCAGGAACTGATGGCCAGGAAGGTCCACCTGAACGTGAGGAAGAATTTCTTTCCTGTGCAGTGACCAAGCCCTGGGACTGATTGTCCAGAGAGGGTGTGGAGTCTCCCTCATTGGAGATATCCCAGACCCCTCTGGCCGCAATCCTGTGCCATGTGTGCTGTGGGATGACCCTGCTTAACCAGGGAGGTTGGACCAGATGACCCACGGTGGTTCCTTCCAACCTGACCCATTCTGTGGTTCTGTGATTTCCAGGGATGCTGCAAGTTCAGCTCTTCTCTGAAGAGGGCCCCTTGCCAGCAGAGCTGGGACAGGAGTTGGAACAGGGCACTGCACAGACTGGGTCTGATAGAGACAATGGCCCCTTTGCTGCAACATTCGTCTTCCTAAGACCAGAACAGTGATATCCCATGTGTTCCCCAAGGGTGCTGAGACTCACCACAGACATTGATAGGTGAGTTGTGAAGAATCTTGCTCAGCAAGATAAGAAACTATTCCCATCTGTCCCTTCCCCTCCCAGGTCAATAATCACTGTCCAGTACACCTGGATGAGCAGTGGAGTTACTGGAGTTGCCCCTGGAGTTACAGCTCAGCTCTTCTTGACACAGAGTCTGCTCCTCTAAGGCTGGCCAGCAGCTAGGTGGCAAAGCAGTAGTGTGATTTTATCTTTTGCAATGATTCGCCTTGGTTAAATATTATTTCTGATATCCAGTTATATGCTGTCTCCAGAGAGCTTCATGGCCTGTCTAAGGCCCATTTAATTCAGTGGCTTTGTGTCAGCTTCACTGCGTGCTGGATCCTGCTTGGGCTGTGAATGTGTCCTTTAATAGCTACAGCTGTAAAAACATATTAGCTGCTTCTCTGTAGGCCTGTTGTTTTTCTGTTAAAAAAGAAAATGAAAAAAGTGTATTTCAAGAGGAACAAAATTTCAGATCAAAGGAAATCTTTTTCCATTTCAAGTTGAATTTGAGAAATAGTTATGATGTAATTAAAAAAAAAAAAAAAAGAAAAAGAAGAGGGAGTGTTGAAACTTTGAGATATCCAAGCCATCTTGTTATTTTTCTTGCATTAGTCTTTAGTCCATGATGGCTCAATGGATAAAGCACAATTCCAGAGCATGGCACACTTGGTATATTACAAACTTTATCTGCTTATTTAGGAATAAATATTATAATCGGAATCTGGTAGTTCCCTGCCAGGTACAGCTTCTGTCCACCAAGTGGTCCAGAGGGTTGTGTTCTCTCTGGCAAAGCTGTGGTACTCAGCAGAAAGAAACACCTGAACATCCATTAGAACAGGAGAAAAAAATTTAAAAAAAGGACTTTATAATTCAGTGATGAAGACACTGGTTGGTCCAAGTGCTGGAGATCTCAAGCATCAACTGAGTTCTCTGCTAGACTGCTGTGGGCAGTGCTCATGAGGTTTGAATCAGGAGGGAAGTCAGACAAGTGGATTTCTGCAGTGTGCATGATCAGACCAAGGTGGAGAGACAACAACTTTTCCTCAATAGTTTTCGAGCAGCATCTAAGCTCATGTCTAAGACTTGTGATCCAGTATTTTGTTTCTAAGCTCCTCCATTCTTGTTTAAAACACCCTCAAAGAATCTTTTGTTCTCCAAAAAAAAACCTCACCAGGTCTTTTTTTTTAAAATTTTGAGCTCTACCACTGCATCAAAAAAATGATGTTTATTTCAAGCCAAGTACAACATTTTCTTGCTAAGAGGTGTGTACTGTGCTTCAATACCAAGCTGTCAAATTCCATGGGACACAGCTACCCTCTCCTTACCTCCTATTGATTTTGAAACTGGGAACTGCTGTATGAAACTGAGAGGCTGACTGGGTGTTATCTTGAGTCTTGAGGCAATCCAAGGGTAAAACAATCTAATGTGACAATATATGAGAACTCAGCATTCAGGGTATTACCATTCCTGACGAACAAAACTGGCCTCGTGTCCAGACAAAGAGAAGGCTGACACTGTATCTCAATACACACACAACTACCTAATCTGTAGCTTGCAGTAGACCTAATGCTCATAAAGATTTCAGAAAGAAAAAAATAGGCAGTGTCTGTGAAAAATGATAGATAATAGCTGATTGAACCAGGCTTCAGTGAGGGAGAAAGATGGCTAGCTGGGGGAAGAAAAGAGGCTCTAACATTTTCTTGAGCTGCAGTCTTTTTGATCTTATGCATGTCTTGAGATTTTGTGTTGGCTTCTTAATCTTAAAATGATTAAAAAAAAATATCCCTCAAACCTTTTTAGAAACAGGCTGCCCCAGTCTGTATCCTACTTCCCGCACCTGGACACAGGACAAAGATGTTATGGCTTTCAGGAAACAGCACATTTGTCAGCATGCAGCCCCCAGCTGAACAAAGGGCTGGATTCATGGATGCAATATCAGCCATGGAAATGTTCCACCCCTGCCCCTCCCTGGCTTCTTACTCAATCTGTTGAAACAAAAAATGAATTGTCATTGGATTTTGCAGCCTCTGAGGTTCCTCAGCAGATCAATACATCTTGGACGTCTTCTAAGAATTGCAGAATATTTTGAGGTGGAAGGGACAGGATCATGAGTCCAACTCTTAAGTGGGATTGAACACACAGTGGCCCCTAATTTGAATAAAACTGCAAAAGAATTACAAGAATTCAATCTCAGATTATAAGTGACTTTTTTTGGGTTTTGTTTCTAATATAAAGAAGCTGCTACCAAAGAGGAGATGGGAGGCAGAAATCTGCAGCAAGCAAAAGTAGGTGTGCTGTGAATTACAGTCAGATCTGACTTTGCTCCCACACAGCAGCACCACTTCAAAATTTCTCTTGCCCTGAAAGAGCAGGGTACCCTTTTGACAGGGACTTGGTGTTCATTAATGGTGTTTGCTCTGCCTGATATGATGTTTAAAAGCTCCAGATCTTTTATGACATTGTCATATACAGCAAAATATTTAAGCAGTTATTCAGCTTGAAGCACCTAAGTAGTCCCACTGTCAACAACAGGACTTCTCAAATACTTAAATTTATGCATGTGTTGAAGTGCCTTGTTAAATCAGGGCTTCAAACCCTAATAGCCTGCTGAACCAGAGTGATCATTCCAATCTTCACCCTAGAGCCTAAGAAACACCCCTGGCACGCAATGTACAAAACTAATTTTAGTTAATTGGATAAAATTGTGCATGTACACTCTGTGACTGCTGAGAGTTTTGAAAACTAATTGCGCTGGTGTCACCCTGCATGCTTGTTTTTGTGATTAGTCACATCCACCCACAGGAGCCGTGGCACTGTCATCAGATACGCTCTGTGATCTGTCCTGGAGGCTGGCACATCTCCAGCTCCAGGTGGGTTGCCCCCACTGTTGTCACACAGTGTGATGTAGCTACCTGTGATAACTCTGGAGCAGACAGGACATCTTTTGTGCTGCCTTTCCCAACGAGTTTTCACTACATACCCCTTTCAGAAATTAATAATTTCCGCCGGGCAGGGATACTGTCAGCCTGGCATCAGATAAGTTCTCAGGCAGAGAGCTGTACCCTGCACTGCCTGTTTTATCCAATAAAAACTTTCCCATTCCTTGTGTACTGCTTATAATTTAGCCTTCATAAGTTGACTTGCCAGCACGTTTAGATGGACAGAGAAAAGTGAGATGCTGATGTATCTGTGGACTCCTTTCATCTGACATAAACACCCATTGTCAAGACAGGGTAAGCAGAGGGGAAAACATTGTGACAATTACAAATCAAATTCCAATTTACCATTCTCCTGCCTTTCTGGCACTGTGCCAAGAAGTAATGCTCTGGTCATTCACATGCTGACACAAGACAGCATTTTAAGGCTGGAGATGAAATAAAGTTTGAGATTAACCTTTTTTTTTTTTTAATTTAATTGGAGAAGTGGAGAAACTGCTCCACCTACCTAACTGACAACTTTAAATGAAAACAGAGCTGTGAACAGCACAGGTGGCATCATGTATCATCATCTGTTTCCTCACATGTGAGAACAGCTTTACCAAGGTGTTTATTCTCATTTTCCTTTGCTCCTTTCTTTAGATAGTTTTGCTGCCACATGGATTGGTCCCTACTCTTGATGGAGCCTCCAGTGCCTTTCTCTGCAGGCTGCAGCAACCTCTGAGGATGCTAAAACCATGGACGTGCACAGCTGACTGTCCTCAGGAACAATGATGTTTGAGGACATATCTTGAAACTGAGACCCCTCGTAATCCAGCAAAAATAAACACCAGCTCCTACTTGTGCAATAAAAGTGGATAAACCTTCACCCTGCTATATGCACTAGTCATGCATTGGTAATTGTCATTAAAATTGAATTTAATAACGGCTGAAATGATTCAGAAGTTTCCTTGGCTGCAGCGTTTATGAAAAGCATTACCTAAATATGATGGAAAAAACTTAAAAATTATACCATCTAACCTCTGGGAGAAATAACACTTGGATTTGTTAATTTTGGACAACATCTAAATTCTTCTGCTGGCATGGTTTTAAACTATATCCCTATAATGCACCTCCTCATACTTTTACAGCAGCAATAAGAAAATTGGCTAAAAATGGTAATGCCCCTTTTGGCTCACAATGTATCTTTTGAGACTAATTTGTTTAGTTTAATGAGAAAATAAAGTTAGCATGGCCATGTTCCAGTCCCAGTACCAGTATCCTGTATTGGGATAAGAAACTAATCGTGTTAGGAGCAGGCAGAGTGTCCATGGCAGGGCAGAACCAGCAACTGCAACAGCCCTCACCAACCCATGACTCTGCCCGTTTTCTCCCCATTTAGTGTAAAACGAACATGCAAACAAGGCAGAGTCCTGAGGAACTCCCTGTGTGGCCTGAGGGTGCTGGATCACCATAGCAGATGTGCAGGCTGGTACCTGAGAGAGCAGCACATCCACAGGTGGCTGATCATAGAATCATGGACTCAGAGTAATGGAATCACGGAATCATAGAATCACAGAACTGTGGAATCATAGAATCATGGAGTCACAGAATCATAGAATCACAGAATGGTGGAATCATAGAGTCACAGAGTCATAGAATCATAGAGTTGTGGAATCACAGAATCATAGATTCACAGAGTCACAGAACTGTGGAATCACAGAATCACAGAGTCACAGAATCACAGAACTATGGAATCATAGAATCATGGAGTCACATAATTACAGAGTCACAGAATCATAAAATCACAGAACTGTGGAATCATAGAGTCACAGAATCACACAGTCATAGAGTCACAGAATCAGAGAATCATAGAATCATAGAGTTGTGGAATCACAGAATCATAGATTCACAGAGTAACAGAACTGTGGAATCACAGAATCACAGAGTCATAGAATCACAGAATCATAGAATCACAGAGCTGTGGAATCACAGAATCATAGATTCACAGAGTAACAGAACTGTGGAATCATAGAATTACAGAATCACAGAATTGTGGAATCACAGAATCACAGAATGGCCTGGGTTAAGAGGGACCTTAAAGACCATCCAGTTCTGACCTTCCTGTCATGCAGGCAGGGATGCCATTCACTCTGTCAGGTCCTCAGAGCCCCATCCAACGTGACTGATCCCACCTCCTTAACTCTTACCCCACTGGAAAGCTGAAAGTTGAATAAAGACCATTCAGCAGAAGCTTGTAGCCACCAGAAAACAGCTGTAAGCCTAGAATCTGAGGGGTTAAACTAGTTGAGTTGGAATTTCTTCAAAACATGGCACAGGCAACAGAGAAAGTAGAAATGTTCAGATGAATATAAACAAATACTTCTTTTCCTTAATCATTGAATATTTACCAGATGTTTGACAGTTGGATTGACCATTTAAAGTCATCACATTTTGTCTGAAGTTGTGGTTTGATTACAGCCTATGCATAATAGCCATTTTCCAGGGGCCAATAAGATTCAGTATTTCATGTAGGTGATTCATGAAGAGCAATATACCATATTAATGTGGTATATTATATATATGTGGTGTATATTGATAATTTTGGCTTTCAGAAGAATTTCTTAGTCTGATGACAGAAGTTTTCAGAGGCAAGAATAGTCTCTGCAGAGACTGCCCCTCAGCTTGGGGTGTAGCTAAAATCCTGAGCGCTGTACTGATTTAATTACAGCCATTCAAAGAGAGTGAGAGATTTTATTCAGACTTCCCTGAGACAGAAAAGAAGGGTCTAATGGAAATTCTCTTATTATCTCAACTGAAGGGGTTGTGACTGAGAGCACACTCTCATTTGCTGCCTATACAGCTGTAATTAAATAATTTCAGCTTTCAGACTTTGAGCCTTATCTCAAGTTGGGATAAAAATTTGCAGTGAAAGAGATGAGCAAGGAAGTTTACTTTCTTGCAGAGAATTCCAGGGCAAAGCAGAACATGAGGCACTGCCAGCAATGATGCAGCCCCACCACAGACCCACATCAGCACTACCTAGAGGGTTATGGTGTCCCAGCCACACCTGCTGGTTAATAAAGAAGAAGCACAATCCCATCCGTGACCACAACTTGAGAAAAATTGTATAAAAGCTCAATTTTCGCATAGAACATTGAAATCTTTCTTGCTCAGTGCCCCAGAGAATAGAAGCTCATTTTAATTGGAAAAAGACATCTAGAAATGGTAGAAAATCAGTGAGGTAGTTAGGGAATTTAAAAAAAAGTGAAGGTAAACCTCAGAGCAGGGCTTTGCTTTAGTGGATGTTTGGCTTAAGTCCTGTACATGTTTGGAGACCGACTCATTGCAGCTGTTACCTGCTGTGCCCCTGGCCAAAAATGCAGCCAGGCTGCTGGGCAATGAGGTGAGGTTTTGGGCAGGACAGCAGTGAGTTTGAGAGGTTTTAGCAGCAGTTTTAGAGGTGGCTGCCCCCTGGTTCAGCAGCACCTGGTCAAGCAGGCTCTGTGCACCCCAAAAAGCAGTGACCTGCTCCAGGTTGGATGTCAGAACAGACAAGTGCAGGCTCCTGGCCCCACAGCAATGAACCAATAGTTCAGCTTCTGCCCCACCAGTGGGCTCAGCTTTGGGGGTGAGTACAACTCCTTTCCCAGACTGTGAAGCTTGGACACCTCCAGCCTCCCAGTTTCACACAATGGCAGGGTGCTGCAGCTCTGGTCCTTGGTGGATGTTCAAAGCTTGGGGGCAGAAAATGATGTTGTTGCTGCCACCATCCCCATAAAAACACCAAACGTGATGCCTCAGCATGTGAGAGAACACAGAGAGCTGGTGATGCAGGTGTTCAGAGCAGGGGAGCATCCTTAGGGATACAGAGTTTGGCTAGCACTGAAACTGGCTCCATGGGCCAAAGACAAGTGGAAGGATGAGAGGAGTCAGCCTGGGAAAGGATCTGACTCAGAACAGGGACATGTTTTGCTCTGCTTGAGGCTAGCCAATGCTTGGTGAATATGCTGGACCCTGCCTTCTCACCCCATCCTGTGCACCTCTGTGATATCAGGCACCCCACAATCCTGCACATGTCCTGTTACTGCTTAACAACAAATATATCAATATACTCAGGCAAGGAGAAAAGCACCTATTTACATCTGGGGTAGTAACAGAGAGAGCAAATGCTCCCAATATTATTGCATCCTTCAAGCCCCTCTCGGGGAGTTCCTCCCTGGGCATTCATGTTTACTATAAATTGCTAGGGGCTGACTCTCTCCACACAAGGAGAAACACCATAGAGACAAACTACTGCATAATGTATGAGATCTAGGATATGGCAGGGTTATTAAACATACATATATGAGAATAAGGAAAATATGGTCTACCTGTCTCTCTTTACAGTGCAGCATCTTTGCTGTAATATCTCCCCCCCTTTAGAGCTGGTCATACTTCTGAATTTTAGGTAGTGTTGGCCTGCAGCACTTCAGATCCTGCTGTTCTTGAGCAAAATTCCCAGTCAGCTGCATAAGTTGGACTTTTTGGAGGCTGGGTTGAGAAACATTGGGGAAGAAAGCAAAAGTAGCCCTCAGCACCTGCTAAAACACCAAACCCTCTCAGCTCTCCAGCCTGGCAGAGCTTAACATCTCATTTGTCAAAGTGACAGTCAATTCCCCATGATAGATCATATGATTATTAATTCTGTCTTCAGGAGATATGCACAATTTGGAAGTTTTCTGAATCAAGGTAGTAAGATAATGCTTAAGGGAAAAAACCACAAGCCTTCCCCCCTCCCCCAAATTTCCATTTCATTAAAATTTCAGAGGTAAACAACAAAAGTTACAACAAAAAGATTCCTGTCACTGCAAAACCCCAAAGACTCCTCACTGTGGGTGAGACGATGGTCTGTTGTTCAGAGACCAAATACAAACTGACACAGACAGAGACTAATTAAAAACTGATGCACCTGTATCCTCTGTAACTAGTTTGGCTTGTAAGTGTCAGAATTTTTGCTGCAAATAGTTTAATTTTTCTCTTTGTATGAAAAGCTCCTGGCTCCTCAGAGGATCAGCTTTCTGGCTGAGATTACCCATGCTTAGAAGATAATTGATTTCAGTGAGTTCTCCAGAGAAATGTCACTCAGAAGACTCTTGGTTAACTATTCTTCGCTAAGCCAAAATGCACGACACTTCTCACTGTTATGAAAGTGGTCTAATGACCTGTTTCCAACCTGCTTTCTGAAGGCTGCATGAACTTTGGTAGAAGCCTGGCACAGGAAGAGTCATCTGCTGCAGTTTGGGAGGGGGCGGTGAGAATTCACAGATAAGTGATGTGAAGAAATCCCCTACCCTACATGCCCTCTGAGGATCAATTTCTACCCTTTCTATGGCAAAACCAGTAAAAAGAGATCAGGGGGCAGGAAAAACCTCCTCTGTGAACTTGCATGCAAAAGTTTTCACATGAACCCTGGCAAGGCTTGTGCTCTCCACCAACGCTCTGGCAGACACAGTGGTATCACTGGTGCAAATGCTGATGAAAAACAGCTATAGGCAAATCTTAAGGTTTTCTCTGAATGAGTGTTCACA